GGTATTTGTAGCGGACGAGATAGGCAGGGAGACGAGGACAGGGGGTGACGGTGCCCCGCAGAGCTCGGAAATGACATCGTGATGGGTTGCGACAAACTCGAAAACGATACTAATATAAATAGGGTTAACATATAATATTTCAACTATGAACAATCGACTTAAATAATTTAATAATAAATAATTAAATATTTTACAATTATTTATACGGGATGTCCAGAGAAATTGCTGGAACTAATCAGCTGTCATTTTTTAATGCATGTTTTAGTTATTGAGAAGCTTTAGTTATTGAGAAAACAAAAATTGTGTCAAAAAAAGGAAAGTCTACAGTTTTTAATGGATATAAATAAAATGTTTGTATACCAGTTTATTTTATTGATAAAAAGTAATGAAAAGTGCTAATAATCACATAAACTAACGATAAATATTTTCAACAGTGCCAGATTTAATAGCAACTATTAAAAGGATCATCAATAACATTAAAAATGACATGTTAGAAAGTTTTCACGAGTTTTCGTAAAAAAACAGAATTTTGTACAAATTTAAATGCACACTTTTCAAAAATATTTATCATTAGTTTACATATGTGATTATAGTAATTTTTCATTACTTTTCATCAAAATAAAATAAACTGATATACAAACATTTTATTTATATCCATTAAAAACTGCTTTCCTCTTTTCAACACAATTTTTGTTTTCTCAAAACTGTATACATTGAAAAATGACAGCTGGTTAGTTTCAGTAATTTCCTATGTGACACCCGTAAATCCGTAATTATAAACAACCTGAACGTTTTGCAGGCCGTTGATGGAGTTCGGCAGACTAGTGAGGTTCACGCCTTGTAGATTCACATTAGTCGGTGACGGACTGGTCATCGGACTTGCTGGTTGACTGCTCTGACTGGAAGAGGCGTTGAGCCGCTCAAGCAGGGACGAAGCCGAATTCATCCCGGGTATCGGATTGTCTGCCGACGGCGTGCCTATTCGAAACATACGTATATTACATTAACCAAACTAAAAAAAAATATTGATTTATATAGTGAAATATTATCTATATTATATTTAATAAATATTCAAACGAATATTGCGGACTCAAATTTTAACGTTATACAGTCTTAACAAAAAGGTAATTTTTTAAGGTCATTTGAAGGTTAACCGTTTTTCAAGACCATTTAGAAGTAACTTTTTATAATATAATAATTACTGATTACAAACTTTTTCCCAACATATTTATATAATTTTTCAAACAACATGATTTCTTTACATAATTGATTCCTCTCATTATTTTGCGTATGAAAGTATCAAGGAGATATTTCATAGTTTATGTTAAAGTATACAATATCTTGTAAACTATTCACTTTTTGGGCATCCCATCCTTATAACTTTTTATGTCAAATTACTAGGATAGAAATCGATTTATATTAAAAAATTAGAGTAGTTTTATTTTAAAAAAACTAAATTAACTTTCAAATAATAATGAAAAATGACTTTAATTAAAATTCAAAATCTCGAAATTTATTTGTAATTGAAATACTTTTGTATGAAATATTTTCTCGTTCACAACCATAGTTTCAGAAATATTCAACTATATTAATTCAAACACATCCTGATATTATCGATCTGTATATACTAAGTTTCTTAATCCGTAACAAATTCGGTAAAAAAAATTACATTTTTTATCGTAATAGAGTATCTTTAAAGATCTATAGATAATGTTTATTGTACCAGCAAGCATGGCCGAAAGTCCCGGCATTGATAAGCCAAGCGTAGACGTGGAATCTTGCACTCGCGCGAGTCTCACGGTGGTCGTCTTCATAGATTGTTGCTTGCACCCTAGCTGTCCGGTTAAAGCGGAATTCAAACTCACGCGTACCTGAAACATATTGACGATGTAAGCAACACATTTACATATACAAGGTATTTAATTAAATACAGGGTATTTAATTATTCATTTTAATCGCCCCAGGCAAATAGGGACATAAGGTGATGTCATTGATTTGATCTTGTATAATCATTTGAAGATCACATAATGATCACCTTCAATTTCTTAAATAGAACCTACTATGTTTTATTACATATTTTGGTAGCTTATCTCGAGCTCTCCAAAAAACTTTAATAAAGTATTTTTCTCTTAAGTACTTTTCGAGTTATTAGAGTTTGAAGTAAAAAAATCTTTGACAAAATGTAAAACATCTTGTAAAATATTCAGTTTTCGGTAATCATACCTTAATACTTTTATATATACGGAATAATGCGACTAATCAATGTAAAGAAAACACATAGTTGCTTTTAAAAAAAGTACGTATCTACATTGTTGCAAATCACATACTTTTTTTTAAATAATTATTTGATCTCATTATTCATACACATATTTTACATTGTACCAGTAAAATTATTATTCAAGTCGACGTGAATCGACCCGATGGGAGTTCCCGCGAACACCCATCACGCATAGTCTTATGTGAAACGATAGGAATTTTGTAAAATAGAAATTATAGGCCGCGACCATAGGCATGACAAAAGTAATGAGGGTAGACGAAATTCCCCACCACGAACGCGAAACGAAGCTCGCCGACAGGAGATACTCCAGGAGAGACCGTGAGACTGAGAAGATCCTTGATTGTAAAGCTCTTGAAGTCGTTCTCTCAAATGTCGGATCACAGGACGATTATTAATTAACAAGGATAAAGATGAGAGACCTGACTGTTGCGAGGAAATTTAAGAATCGATCACAGTTACCCAAAATATTGCTTCTACATATGTAAGTCAGTAAAATTACTCATACTTGTTTGAAATAATTGCCCCGTGTTAATGTAAGATTCCGTAGTACATGATTAATTCAATTTTAGAAAATTATGGGTTTTTTCCAACGCTCACTCCTGAGGTGTTCTGAATTAAAATTGTACTTGATTAATCATAAATTTATACTGGCGCCCAACTTTATTAAAATCTCATAATATAATTTTCCACGCAATGTATCATTATTAATTTTCATACGAGCCCTAACAGCTACGGATCCGGCCGCGTTAGGTGAAAACTGCTAAAACATAAATTGTTCGTCAAGTTATCGATTGAAATCTTACTTATTAATGATCAATTAAGCCAAGAAAAGATAGTCTGTCTCAACATTTTATGTCAAAAAATTATTAATTTTAAGTCTTAATAACTCAAAAGTGTGTTTTCAAAAGCTCTTAAGATAAGCTACAAGAATATGCAATGAAGAATAGTAGATTCCATTTAAGAAACTGAAGGTGACCTTTACGTGACTTTCAAATTATTATACAAAGTCAAACTAACCATTTTATGTCCCCCTCAAAGTCAATTAAATATGTGAAAGAATTATTAATTATATGTTTGATTAATATATCACAACTTAAACATATCCATTTCGACCCAAACTAGCCAAGAAATTATTTTATTTCCACAACGTTTCGACCATCTGTTTTTGGTCCTTTTCAAGTGAAAAATTAGAATGATACAATTAATTAAGATTAATAAAAATAAACATTTTGATGTTAAACGCAAGAATTAAATTTTACAAACTTTCTCAATAAAAGCGCAATTAGTTGACACTATTGTCATGAATATCGGTCGTTCTTTAAAAAATGCTGGCTTTAGTGTAGTCTATAAAACAGCCAAAAAATTGGACATATTAATAAAACGAGGCAAAGATAGATTATCTAACGACGATAGAACTAATGTTGTGTATAAAATTGACTGTAAAAATTGTGATTCCTCATATATCGGTCAAACAAAAGACATTTGCGTACACGTATGAAAGAACATTTTAACAATATAAAATTACATGTAACAAATCATTCGGTCATAAGCAAACATAGACAAGAGTTGGGACATGAATTTGATTGAATATCACCCGTTATATTACATAATGAAAAACATGTTAGAAAGAGAGAAATCGCAGAAATGTTTTTTATCAAAAAAGTTAATAATACAGTTAACCTACATAAAGACAGAGAGAATTTAAACAACATCTATGACAAAATTATAAAGGTCGTATAAATTCAGTATACTCAGTTTTTGACGATCCATCATAACGATAAGATGCGGGTTACTTTCTTCCAAAAGTTCTTTCAAAAGTTTTTCAAATGTTTTAAAAATTCAGATATAAATCATATTGTTTAATAATGACAACAGTGTCAACTAACTGCGCTTTTATTAAGAAAGTATGTAAAATTTAATTCTTGCGTTTAACATCAAAATGTTTATCTTTATTAATCTTAATTAATTGTATCATTCTAGTTTCTCATTTAAAAAGAACCAAAAACAGATGGTCGAAATGTTGTGGAAATAAAATAAAAATTTTCTTGGCTAGTTTGGGTCGAATTTAATATATCGTTCCTATTTTAAATATCACTAGCGACGTTTTAAGTATTCAATTTGATTTTAAACATATCCATTTGTAGTATACAATATAAATAGAACTTGTAGCACAAGTAATGAGTTATTAAAAAAATGACATTATTAAACATACCTGACCCGTAGTGCTAGGTACGTTGATCACATTGCCCTGACTAAAAACTCTGGATGGGATGGAAGCATTGAGAGAAATCTTTCGCGGTTGAACTTTCTGTTGAGCCAAATTTGTAGGACTATTTAATAAATTAAGGATCGTGGCGTTGCTGGACTTATTTGTAGCTTGCGCATTGTTGTTGTTCATAGCTGCGGCTGCTGCATTGGCTGCAAAATATAGAGATGAAACACAAATCTGCACGATTCCATTCATTCAGACTTTTGCGAATAAGTAGATTTATTCATATATTTGCAAATAAATAATTGTATAAAGAATAAAATTTAAAAAATACGTAAGTCATATGAACCTGCGGCTTGTTGTTGGAACTGATTCGCGGAATTCATGAGGGAAGTGACGAGGGCACATATTGCCGGATTAGTCGAGTGTTTCTTGAACGGCGGCTCATTTTGGTTCTGATTGGCAGTTTCACTTATACAATTCTGTGTCCCTGCTTGCAATTGCGCTTGCTGTGAATTTTAAATAGAAAACATGTAATGAGGGATATAAAGATATACAAGGTGTCCCATTTTATTCGATCGTTTTCAAAATTTTTTTTTATTTTTGACTTTAACAACAAAATAAGATAGTGCTACTGACTTTTTTCTAAGAGGCGTTTTCAAGGTCATTTGAAGGACAATTATATTTTTTAAATAAAATCATATTTTTTTATATAAATTGATTCTTCATCATTTTCGGCATAAAAAGTTATAGACTAATAAATATGTATTAACTTTTCAATTATATTGATATTAATAATATCTGCTATATACATAAGTATGAAAAAAAGTACATAATAGCTGAGTGCAAAGATGTTCAGTCTGTCACCGTGAAAACTCGGATTCAAATCTATCGGTATCAACATTTTTTTCTTTTTAATATGTTGGAATATATAAAAATTATTAAAAATATATTTTTTTGTAAAGACAAAACTAAAGAATTCTTAAAATATAGAAAATATTGGATTCATTTATTTACGAAATTATTTTACATTTATATATATACATATGTGTGTTGTAATTGTAAAATTATAAAAATATTTTCAATATATTAAAAAATTCTTAAGAATCGTCTTTAAAAATATATATTTTTAAAATAATTTTTATATATTCCAATATATTATAAAAAAAATTATTATACCAGATAGACTTGAATTCGAGTTTTCAGATGCAAGAGAGACAAAGAGAGAATGATACTCTCTTCTTGTCAAGCTGTCAGTATGTTACCACGGAAATTTCCCATGAGTTGCCCTTTATATAAATCTAGTGAGATTCGTTTATATAAGATATTGCATCGAAGAAGTCACGTAGCCTCGTGGAAATATTTTTTATATATTCTTTATATACTAAAGTAAATCGCCAAAACGTCAGATTTTGCATTTTCGCTCTTAAAAATGTATAATAAATAAAATACGGACTCGCAGCTAACCCAACCTTACCCGCTGCTAGCCAAAGTTATATTATAATTTTATTTTCATCTTTTTTCCAAAAAATAAATCTTTGGCGACTTGAGGACAATCCTACTAATTAAGAATATCGTAAATTCAATAAGATTCATTCAGTATTTTGGCTAATATCTCATATGAGAGAATCCGTAATTCCCGACCCTTAAGTAAATTAGATAATACCAATAGTCTACGTTGTGAAAAATTATTAGCCCTAAGTTTTAAATATATTAACTATTAAATTAGTTACTAACAATTAAACTAGTTACTAAAAAATGTAACCAAGTTAAGTTACAGTTATAGATGCAGAAAAAGGAATGAAGTTAAGTTATAGTTACCAAAAAAATCTCAACTGTAATTGTAACTTCGTTACATGTGACGAGTTACTTCTCAACCCTGCATATTTGCATCTTCCGCGTTTAGGGTGTATACTCAAATCTTATAAATAAATTCCATGATTTTCCAGGTACTTTTGTTCAAAATTTCAAGTAAATTAAAAAATTTTTTAAAATTTTAAATACAATTTTAAATTAAGTTTATTTATACATAATTTTTTAATTCCGTTTAATTAATTTTTCGTTTCGTTTCCTTGGCTCTATTGCCCAGCTTAGAAGACAGCATACTTATATTATTTATATTGAGAGCCGATAAAAATATTTATTTCTGAGTTTATTCACGCCTTGGGCTAATCACGGCGGTATTTACTAACATCTACTAAAAAGGCAAATGAAAAATATAGGATCGAAAGGGTCTGAATAGCTTAGTTGGTAAGAGCAGTCGCCCGGAAAGTGAAAGACGCGGGTTCGATTCCCGCTTCAGCGACTTTTCGGACCTATATTTTTCTCGCTTATTTCTCCATATGTAAGTTTCGAAATTAATTTATATGTGGAACTTTGGGATCTCAAATTGAGATACAGTTCCGTTTAATTAATTTTTCGTTTCGTTTCCTTGGCTCTATTGCCCAGCTTAGAAGACAGCATACTTATATTAATAATTTTTTAAGATTAAATAAAATATTTTTATTAAATTCAAGTAAATTTAAAAAATTTTAAAAAATTTTAAATACAATTTTAAATTAAGTTTATTTATTATACATAATTTTTCAATATAAATAAAATATTTTTATTAAATACAAATAAGAAAGGCCTAAAAGCCATACGCGGAAGTTACTTGCGTACATTTATAAAAATTAAATTTTCATTGGAAATAAACAAAATGTGCACAAGTCATATTATTTTTTATAACATGAAATATCTCATACTTGAGATTTAATTTCATAGATCCTTATACCCCCCTAAAGAAATAAACGTGAGAGAAAAATATAGATCCGAAAGTCGCTGAATCGAACAGTAGTACACCAAGAATAATATGTGCCTTGTGCACATTTCGTTTATTTCCAACAAAAAATTAATTTTCGTTGGAAATATACGCAAGTATCCGCGTATGGCTCTTAAGACCTTTCTTATTTGTATTTAATATTTAATATTACAGAGCCTTGATATACTTCTTAGTGAAAATATTTTTTAATATAATAATATAATATTATATTTTATAATAAAATATATTTTTTAATATACTTTATATAAACCTAATTTTTATATTCTTTAAAGATATATTTGAAAATAAAATCAAAGGAACAATTTTTTAAAAAAATTCCCTGAGTTCAAAATAAATTCCATGAATATTCCAGTATTTTTCAAGGTAGAAAAAAAAGTCCTAAGAATTTCACGTTTTCCAGATTTTTCCCGGGAATATACACCCTGGCATTAATATATGGTGTCAAATTCACTATTTGCGTATCGCAGAAAATACAGAAAAAAAGGAGCAATGACTCACCAAGACCGGAACATTAGTGGATGTCGCGTTATTAATAGTACCACTCGATTTTTGTTGAAAAACCAGGATGCCGGAGCCGTTACAAGCGTTGTCAGCTACTGCTATCGTAGAAGAATTATCGACCTGCACGGAGGTGGACGCGTTGGGGCCACCGTTGGCCAAAGACTGGCCTGAACTCAATACGGTGGCATCGTTCTGAGGAATAACTTGCGGCATATTTGCAGAGTCTACGCAGAGATTATTTTGTACAGAGGTGCTGGCTTCCGTCATAGTTTTCATCGAGGCCACCTGACCGGTCAGAGTATTCAGTTGTCCTTGCTGGGCCCGCGATAGCATCTGAAGCGGCGAGCGGATTTGCTGGAAATTTTCACACAAGATTGTGAGACAAGGCGTCGAATATCTATGAGAGATAAATTGTGTTCCATTTTAGTCGATAATCTCCAAAAACTTTTTTTATATTTGATTGTACAACAAGAGTAGTTTGATTCGAAGGACAACAGAAGATGCTACATACTTTTTTTTAAGAGTGCTTTTCAAGGTCATTTGAAGATCAATAAATATTTTACGAGATATTTTATAGTGTAAAATATTGCGAGGAGTTGATTTAACATAATTGATTTTTAAATGATCTTGAAAAGCGCTTTTTAAAAAAGTAGTAATGTAATTTCTGTCCCCTTTCAAATCAAACAACTTTTGTTTAAAACATTTTGTTGTACAATCAAAAATAAAAAAAATTGAGAATGATCGATTAAAATGGGATATACTTTGTATATACATTTTATATATTATATATATATATTTTCTATTTATATATAGAGAAAATTATTTAAATCTTACTTCGTTCCTTGTCATTCAATTCTGTACGACATGCAAACATTAAGCTTATAGTTTACAAACCTGCTGTGCCATCTGTTGCGATTGAATTTGCTGAAATTGTCGAGCCGCTAATTTCGCTTGTTGCGCCTGAAAAAAAAGAAAAATTGCAAGGAAATAAATATCCAAGATGAGGTAATTGATTAGAAAATATTAAATAAAAAAAAAATATTGACATATACCTGCTGATGTGCTCGCTGCATGCTAGGTGTACATGTAATACGAGTCTGTCCTGGTACAGCTCCTGGTATAATATGTCTTATTCTCACATTCTTCCTACCCTCCTCTGTGAATATTTCTTTAAACTGCTGATAGTAATGATTCGCTATGGTTCTGGTTCCTAATGTAAACCTAATAAAAAAATTAAATTATAATAAATCAAATGTTCAACATTTATTAATAAATAATTGTGCAAAAAATATCAAAATATTTTATATTATATAACTAATATAATTAATGTACAATATATATATATATATATATATATATAGATATATTACATTATAATTATTATATATATTATATTATATATATAAATTTTATATATTATATTATATATTAAATATATTAGTTATATGGCATAAATTTGTATTTTAATACTTTTTTATTATAATATAAATTTATATATCATATTTATATATCATATATATATATATATATATATATATATGTATAAAAAATATATATATATATGTATGTATAAGATATGTATATGTATAATGCACATACCGGCAAGAAGAACCATTCTTTTTTCCGTCACGATGATTTTTATCCATATAAAGTTCTCCAAGGCACTCGGAAGTAGCAGGTCTTTGAAGGATCGAGAGCTTTATGTAATCTTGACTTTCCGCAGGTTCTAATATATACTCTTCTATAACTTGTGGCGTACAGTCTATCGTTTCTTTGGCCGTTCGTATGCTTTTGCATATCTAATCATCGAATTACATTTCTAAATTAATCTCGCAGAATATATTTTACAGTAAAAAAAACGTAAGGCAAAAAATTAAGACTCTTAGATCCTAGATTGTGACGTCAGAGGCGAGCAGATGCTGAAAAAATTCTTAGATGCCATTTTTAAATGAAAAACCATATTTCGAAATGGCATCTAAGAATTTTTAGTGCTTCTGACGTCATAATTCCAACGTGGTCGGCGAAGAGAGCCAGGAGACTTAAAGGAAAAGTATAAGCTAAAAAAAAAAGAAGAAAAAATACATTCTCCGTCATAAGAACCTTAAAACTTCGATTGCTGAAGATGGTGGAAGCAGAGGAGGGCTGTGAGAAAAGGCGGTGGGCAGGCAGTGCTTGTCGCTAATCCTCTTCTTTTCGAACGGTATTTCTGCATTAACTCCTGCATCGTTTGTCCTTCCGACTGGGCTAACTGTTCCAATTTTCTTTTCGATTCACTGTGACCTAATATCAAGCAACAAAGTGCAAATCAAGAGTGACGCATAGCAAGCTGTGCATACAAATATGATGTAATTTTGTCTCACATATTGTTTAAATATTATTTATTACTTAATATCAAATAATTAATTATTTTTGCGACATATTTCTTTAATTAATTCTTATTTCTTACATATTTTAATTTATATTAAACTGTAAAGAAATTTCAAACTAAAGTATTTACCTGAGAGAACTTTTTGGCTTGTCGCATGAGCTGATAATCGGTAAGTAGTGATTTAGATTGTTTAATTCTTGTACTAGCTAAGGTGGGAATAGGATTCGGATCTAAGCATAAAGGTCCTTGAGTAGCTGCCACTATATGTGATTCTAACATTAACCGCTCCTCGTGGCTCCAATCTCCGTCACTTGTAAGCGTCGACACATCCGAAAGTACGCTCTGCACACATAAACAAGAATTTTAGAACTAAAATTCAGGATTGGCATTTTGTCCGAGACACTGGAAGAAAGTGGATGAAATGGACAAAATGGATGAAATATTAAATAATATAGAAATCGATAAAATGTGAGATAAAGAGTTTTATATAATTTTTCTTGTTCTGAAAAATACAGATTTAATTAAAAAATGTAGAAAAATTAAGTGTTTTTGGGTAAATATTGTAGTTTATAAAGTTTGAACAGAAATTTTTCAAAAAACAATTTTTATCGAGATTTAAGGTCTATTTATACATATTTGTAATTTTACAGTAATATGGTTAATATTTATTTGTATATTCAAATCTGTTTTAACACTTGAAGAAAAGTGATTTGCTTGACAAGAAAAGATGCCTCTAAGTTTGTGCCCATATTTGTGTAGACATTTTTTAGACTTATAAACATAATGAACAATTAATTGAATTAATGCAGCAATATTCCTTGTTAATTTATCACATCTAAATATATGGATACCTCTTTCAAACTCGATATTTGGAATAAGATTAGCGTAGATATAAAAAAACTAGCTATCTTGCATTTATTAAATAAATAAGGAGTACTAATTTTATGTAAATATTATCTATTAAAAATTCGAATAATTTTTTATGAAAGAGTAATGACAAATTTCGCCCATTTTTGGGACCTCGAATTTCAAACTTTTTTCATGACAAATAGTATTATTAGATGAAACATTAATCCTAGTAAAATTTCAAGATGAGCATAGGCACGGTTCCGGAGATACAAGAGGAAAGTGATGATTTTTAGTCAGTTTTATAAGAAATTATCACTTCTTCATATCTAAGGAACCGCCTATACTCATCTTGAAATTTCTCTGGGATTAATGTCTCATCATATAGTACTACTTGGCATAAGAAAGTTTAAAATTTGAAATCCCAAAATTCAACCCTATAAAATGGCCGAAAAAAACAGGTCTTTTTGCCATCACTCTTTATAATTCATATAAGATCATGATACTAATACTAGGTTGTCAATAAAAAGTTACATAACATTTTAAATAAAAATAAATAAAAATAACATTAATAAGAAGATAATTTTTTTAATTCTTGAAACCCAAATCAAATCCCATAGAAATTCCCTGAGTTTTCAAGAATAAAGTTTTTGAGAATACCAGATTTTCAAGTTTTTTTGGATAATTGATATAAAGAATACACAATTGTTTTTAAGAAAAAATATACATATAACTACTAATTACAAATTACATACTTTGTCTTAAAAAACAATTATGTATTTTCTTTACACCAATTGATGACTAATGCTTGATTGAATATATATCTTCTCTTGATCTTTTAAAAAAAATCGCGCGATCCAAACTTTCTTCATTTATTATACTCTGTAAAAAAATATTTTATCATTTTTATCGACTACGTATTCAGTGATGAAATCTTACCTGTGTCGTAGGTTTAAGAAGTACATGATGAACTTCGGCTCTGTTATGAGAGAATGACTTTCGATAATCTCGGACCTCAGCGATTATGCAACCATCGTAAAATAAATGTGAATAATTGGATTCTAATTGTTCGGCTAACATCGCCGGCAGTTGACCATTATCTATGCACGAAAGTAGTTCACCCTGTTCGTAACCCATGAGTTGAGTCTCGGCTAGTAATGAATTTTTATCATACTGATTCCCCTTATCACTATAAATTGAGAAAATCTAAATTAATGATCAATTTTATACAAAAACCTCAGAAATTTTCAAGAATTAATTTTTATTTTAAGATATTAATTAAATATTCCTCATATAAATATTAAATGTTTTAAGTTTGATAAAATTAAAATTAGAATTTGGCACTAATGATACATTACAATAATTTTGTGGTGTGTAGAAATAGTAAAATTAAAAAAGGAATCAGAGAGTGAAAAGTTTAGATATTTATAGTTAATAATAATACACAATTGTTTATAATAATATATAAATTAGCTAGATAAAGATGAGATAAAATATGTAAATTTATTTTAGATAAGATGAAAATGATTTTGTCTGAAATATATCTAGCTAAAGATATAAAATTATATGGTGATTCATCTAGATAATTTTCTAGATAATTATTAAAATGCTTATGTAAACACAGTTATAAAAAAATGTAAATTATAAAAGAAATATAAAAATATGTATTCATATTTTTATTGCTTACTGCTTAAGTTCTACTATTTAAGTATTTTTATGTGCTATGATTCTAAATCAAAATTATCTGAAAATTATTCTAGATAATTTAGTAAAAATAATACTTTTTTTCATCCAAGATGCAGATATAGACAATACATATTTTTATTATCTATATAAAAATAAGATGCCGCCAAAGTTTCATCTAGATGAACATCTATATAATTTTATTTAGATAAGAACACTAGTGGTAATATAATTGAGAAAAAAATATCAAACTCACCTATTTCTTACAGCTAATGAGTATCCTTTATTACCAGCATAGAGATTAACAATTAATGTATGTAAACCTTCTCGTTGCACTAATCGCCCCAAAAGGTCGCACTCATTCTCAAGATTGTTCTGTACAAAATTTCAGATAAAATGCATTTTAAATGTACCATATATTGTGTTTGCATTACGAAAACATGAATGAAACATATTTTTTTGTTTGCAAAAAGTATTAATAAATTTTGATAAAAGAGGAATACGTGGACGTACCAGAACGGAATCTGGGGTTGCATGAGGAACCTTGGAGAGTTCTTCAAAGTAGAGTCTGGTGAGTTTGGACTGGATGCTGTGCCTGGAGTGACTCTGCTCTTTCTTCTGTGAGGGCAATGATTTATTCGATATTAAGCCAAAGAATCTGGACCTATCGCATTTTTCCAAGATCTGGGTACTTGATTAATCATATCCTGTATGGACAATGGATGAATTAATTATTTGGTAAATGTAAACAATGTTCAATAATGACTTCTTCGCTATATATCTATTCCTTTTAGCTAAACTAGCTGCACTAGTTTAGAATTTAGTTATTTTTTAATTTTATTTAGAATTTTATTTATATTTTTCCTCCCAATGTGAAGTGAAGAAAATAAATTCTGAACTAGTGCTGGTTCCGCTGAACAGAACAGACTCATGGATCAGCGACTAAGGAACTTTTTTACACACCTGAGCCTGCTGACACGCATCTTCCAAACTACAGGCCGCACCAATCATTGTAATTTCTGATTACTGGCGTCACTTAATGTCATATCTGAGGCGGTAATAATCGTTCATAGTCTAAAATATATCACACTCTATTAATATATTAAACATTCACATAAATTGGTGTTGAAGATTACATAAAGTATAGATAGTATTAGATTATTTGTAATCATGAAAATGTAAGAAAAACAATTAATATTTCCCAATAGTTTTATACATTTATATATTAAATACATAATAAGGGAATCTTCAATTAATCAACATTTTGAGATAAAAAATTAATTATGAGTAATTTTAAGAACTTTTGATTATTTCGAGACAAGAAATTGATTAAAAATGGGACACATAATATTTAATTATTGTTTAATTAAAAATAATAACAACTGATTAAAAAATAATCTTAATAACAGTAAGAGGCAAACAATTCTTTCTTACATTTCTAATATTTAATTTTCGAAAATAATGAAATAATTAACTACGTGATTATTAATTTTAAAGAAAATTAATTTATTTTAACTAAAATTTAGCAGATATAACCTTTAAATATAGGCTAATTATGATTGTTAATTACTATATAATTAAATAATTAAGTAATAAAAATTGAAGAGTGTAATATTTTAATATTATATATATGCACTTTTTAAGGATAAATATATGTTCCATGTTCCAGGTAATTTAAAATCAAATTGTATCAGTCGTTCTCTCCCTCTCTCTCTCTCTCTCTCTCTCCTCTCTCTCTCTCTCTCTCTCTCTCTCTCTCTCTCTCTCTCTCTGCATTCTTTATATTTTAAAATAGGATATATTTTTAAAAGCTATTGAAAGAAAGAAAAGGAAAAAAATGTATAACACATAAAAAATGTAAAATAGATTTAAATATAAAATGTGCATATCTTTTCTCTCATTCATTTATGTCAAAACAATTTCTTTTCAAATTACAGTTTGCTTTTAGTTTTACATCTTGTATATATCCAGCAATCTAATAATATTAATATTTCTTATAATTTATCTTTTGTCTTTCATTTTTAATTTTGAAATCACAACAAATTTATACATATATAAATCACTATAAATTCAATCACTTGCATAGTATGCGCATACTTGAAAAAAACATTATTAAACTGAATTAAATTAACAAATTATCCTCATATATACTATGACTTGAAATATGAATGATAAAAATTATGACAAGAACTGGAAAAAAAAAAAAAAAAAAAAAATTGAATATGATCTATCCAACATTGGAAAAACAAATCCATGTGTTTCTACACAAGTCAACTTATCACAATGCATTTTCATAGAATGCAATATGATTCTTGAAAAATAATATGTACACACATGCTCTCTGAATGGGTTTCATTGACAAATTTCTCTTAAGACGCATCATAAAAATAAACAATACGTTCAAAAGTGCATTTATTTTTTGCATCTTCCAAAAAAAGAGCAAACTTAATATTGTAAATATTATTAAATAATTAACTATATATTATAATTTTTATTATAATAATTAACTATATATTATTAAAAATGATGACTTAAATAATAAACTACTCAAAATTCTACATCAACACCCACTTAAAGTGTCATTTGTAATAATTCAAGAGAAACCTTCTGGAGAAAACGTGCAGAATTCTTAAATTCCCGAAAATTGCTCCGTTGCTCTGTCAAAACCAACCATATGTGATTTAAAATAACATTTCAAAATGCGTTTTTCAGCGTTTTTCAAAAAAAAATTCATTTTCATGCGACGATCGCGAAATCCCGCCGTGTTCGATGAGTCTAATTGATACCTTGATCTCATCCACGCTGACGCGAGGGAGACATCAAAATAGGGAAAGAGAGGGGGAGGAAACAGGGGGGAGCGAGGAAAACGATAAACAAGCAAAGGAATATTGAATATATCTACAAATCAGAAAAAATCAGGTAAGCGCGAAAAAACAAATGACGCGAATGCAGAGCAGAGAAAGAAGAGAGGAGAGACAGAATATTTTTTTCTAAATATTCAAAGCGCTTTTAATCAGAGTTTACTTCAATTACGATTATTCAGGCTCACTACGAATCTCTTTTTCTTCTTCAATACACTCGTGCACTTTCGATTTATTTGTATAAACTTTTAGAGAAACAGAGAACAAGAGGTTAAGTCGACAGCTCGAGGTGGCGACGGCGTCGCGGAGGAGCACGCGGGCGTTTCACCTTGAAGGAGAGGTGCGACGATAAACAAGAGGGGGAGGGGGAGGGGGATCCAAATTCGCTTACATCCTAACCTCACTTTAATGCACGCACGCACGGAGTCTTGCTTGTCAAGGCTTGCGCGCGGGATCCTTCGCGGAGACGTCGTTGTGTGTGAGAGAGAGAGAGCTCGCACCACTGTCTCTCCCTAGTCTTTAGTCTGATTTAGTCCTTCCTGGTGTCTATCTCTCTCTCTCTCTTTTTTTCTTTCTCTCTCTTTCTCTCTCTTGAGCGCGGCTACGAGAACAGCGAGCTACGTGGATCACGCGCGGCTCATCCTCGAGGAGAGACTCTCACGACGAGCGATATTTACACGCGAGAAACGTCATTTCGCGTCGAGCAGCGCGTAACCTAATCGTGCAAACACCGCACAACACACCCACGATTTCGCAGACTGGGAGAACCCAACCTCCCTCTCTCTGTCTCCCTTTTTCTCTTACTCTCTTTCTCTCTCTCTCTTACTTCACCCTCCTTGCGTCTCTTTGCTCTCTCTGATTTGTTAGTGGAAACTTATGAGAAAATATCCAGATGGATCGAGACGCGACGCGCGTTGGCTGTCGACTAGAGAATTTTTAAGGTCCTTTAGGGAATTTTTAGAGAAATTTTATATTCAATAATCAAATTGTTTTGCGCAAGGTAATTCAACTGTTAACGTCGGTTAAGCGGGGTCTACAATGGCAGTAGGAGTACAGAGTAAGCAGTACGAAATGGGATTGGCTCATTCCGTTACTCCCGACGAAATGAGCAAATCCCATTTCGTGCTGCTTACTGCTTACTCTTGTACTCTGTACGCCTGCTGTCAATGAGTACGTTTACACCGGCACCCTTAATTGGGTTTAATAACATCTATAGTAAAACTGGTCAATCACAGCCATTCCCTTGAAGAATGGAACGGCTGTGATTGGCAAGTCTTACAACTACGGATGTTATTAAACCCGATTAAGGGTGCCGTGTAAACGTACTCATAGTAGACCCGCTTATATCTTTGTCTTTTAATTTTCACATACGTATTTAAAAAAAGACAAATATAATTTAACCGGAGGTTAAAGTTAAGCGGGGTCTACAATGACAGCAAGAGTATAGAGTACAAGAGTAAGCAGTAAGCAGTACGAAATGGAATTGGCTCATTTCGTCGGGAGTAACGAAATGAGCCAATCCTATTTCGTACTGTTTACTCTTGTACTCTGTATTCCTGCTGTTGCATTGTAAACCCCGCTAGAAACCAGAAAGGCAGAAGCCAATTAGAACCACAGATTAATAGACAGATCGCCAAATTTAGACAGATCGTCTAAAGAGGAGACCGTCATTTTGCCCCTTACCGACACACTTTGCCCCTGGTTCGAGTCCAGGCTAATAAAATCCTTTGATTTTACCAAAAAAGTTTGCCTCTGGTGCGAGTTCAGGCTAAAATCTTTTGATTTTACACGTATAATCACTTAAATTGCCAGAGTTGGTTGATTAAATTACTACCATTTTTTAATTATCATCTGGTGACTTCAGAGTTTTTACATCTTTATATCACAATAATATATAAAAAAATGTTTTATGTTTCGAATTAGCAAAAAAAAGAAAAAAGAGAAGGGTGCCAACGGTACATGGTGTTCCCAAGCGGTCACCCATCTAAGTACTAACCATGCCCAACGTTGCTTAACTTCAGTGATCAGACGAGAACTGGTGTGTTCAACGGGGTATGACTGTTGACGATGGTAAAATCTTTAATTAATGAGGAAATAGTCACTTGAAAATTTTAAGATTATTGTAAATAAAATTGTTTCTTTATTGTCATTATAATTTAAGTATACATACATTTGAAACAAAAATAAATATTATTATTGGTAATAAAGAGATCCTAAAGCCGTTTGTTTTACCAATAAAACGCAAAATTAAGAATTTGACTATATATTAATCATTTTATTAACTATACATACCCCAGACAGCACAGAATTTTATGATAAAGATTCATAAATATTTATAAATATATATTTTTTAAAAATATGAGATAAATATTTTGAAAATGTTTTATAAAAACCTTTTATTTAACATATTATTAAAATAGATTAAAATATTTAATATAATATATTTATGGTATGTATAAAGATAAATATTTATAGATATTATTTTGTAAATATTTTTTAACTAAATTGTTAGTTTTTTCATTTATCGCTATGTGATGTATATCTTTCTCATAATTGATTTTCATTGTAAGAATTATATAAATATTTACAAAATAATATCTATATAAATATTTATCTTTATACATACCATAAATATATTATATTAAATATTTTAATTTATTTTAATAATACGTTAAATAAAAGGTTTTTATAAAACATTTTCAAAATATTTATATCATATTTTTAAAAAATATATATTTATAAATATTTATGAATCTTTATCATAAAATTCTGTGCTGTCTGGGTATGTATAGTTAATAAAATGATTAATATATAGTCAAATTCTCAATTTTGCGTTTTATTGGTAAAACAAACGGCTTTAAGATCTCTTTATTACCAATAATAATATTTATTTTTTGTTTCAAATGTATGTTTACTTAAATTATAATGACAATAAAGAAACTATTTTATTTACAATACTCTTAAAATTTTCAAGTGACTATTTCTTCATTAATTAAAGATTTTACCATCGTCAACAGTCATACCCCGTTGAACACACCAGTTCTCGTCTGATCACTGAAGTTAAGCAACGTTGGGCATGGTTAGTACTTAGATGGGTGACCGCTTGGGAACACCATGTACCGTTGGCACCTTCTTTTTCTTCTTTTTTTGCTAATTCAAAATCTTAAATAAAACAAAACATTTTTTTATATATTATTTGTGATATATCAATTTTATATATTATAAAAATTTTTGTTTACTAAAGATAAGACAATTTCCATTATTGTTCAGTGTTTTTTGAATTCACTATGGATGCCATTTTCTTTTAAACTAGAAATTAGAACATTCCCCAGACTCTTACTTCTAGAGACTCTAATCCATATATATATATATATATATATATATATATATATATATATATATATATATATACGTTCGGAAAACTATAGACACTCGGTGTGGTTTCGTGATTTTAATGGAGAAGTGAAGGGGATACAGAACATGTTCTCGGGTGTAAAGTGTTTCCGAATGGATGTGTATATTTGTACGCATTTTGTGTACAAATATATATATATTTATGTAAATATTTATATATTTATATATATTTATATTATATTTTATATATTATATTATATATATATTGAAAGCAATTGCCACCGATCGGCTGATTGCGCACGCGCCGATACGACAGCTAACTGTCCCCGATAACTGCTGCCCTCGGCGTAAGCGTAAAGGGCGCAAACTAAAGCGGCGCGCGCGGGAGAGTCAAAGGGTATTTAAGCTAGGCGAGCTGAGAAACCCGGGACTCTCCTTCGAGCAGTATACCTAAAAGATAGTTGATTTTTGTATACGGGAGTCTTACGAAATAAATAGCAGTCTTTGTCTTTACGTGAATATTTTTGTTGAGTGACTTTCAAACACCTTTCTCGAACCTTCGTACTTTCCGCGCTTTCTAAGAACAGTTAAAACTTTTAACGGTTATCCGTAATTAAATACTTTACTTAATTCTTCTTTTAATAATCTCGATTTCTTACAATATATATATTTATACATTGAACAATTATATTCTTGCTTGAATCAAATAACGGAAATCATTATCTGTTGCGGCTTGATGCCATCCTTTTATTAAAGTAATATTTTGTTGATGCATTAAGGGTCGGCAGGAGGCCCGGTGGAGACGCTTATCGGCCGGCCTGGAATTACGAATCCCCCCCCCCCCCGCTTTAGCGGGGAGCGCACACTTTTGCATAAGCGCATAAGCATATGCATAAGAAATTCGATTGGTTGAATTTCTTATGCATACGTTTATAGATCAATCAAAGATTCTTAAGCGGGGAGCACACACTCTTGCATAAGCGCATAAGCATATGCATAAGAGCCATTATACAATAGGTTGCAAATATCCTCCCGTTGCTAATTGACAATTGCCGATTGACCAATGAAAGTAAAGCAACTTGTCATTTGATTGGTTAATCCGCAACATACAGGTATATATACACACATGAGCATAAGCATATATACAACTTCCAAAAAGTGGGTGCTTATTAGCTCTGCTACGCTACTGCCTTCTGCTACGGAAGGTCAGGGTATCGATTCTGTAACTTTTTTTAAAGTGAAAATGTGAAAAGTGAAAAATTCTCGCCAATCACGCATTGATTTTAAAATAAAATCGATGTGCGATTGGCGGAAATTTTTCATTTTTCACGTTTTTACTTTAGAAAAAGTTACAGAATCGATACCCAGAAAGCATTTTCAGGCCGCATCTCGCGTATACCGGCACGGTAGAGGAACAAGGAGAACACGTCATTATCGGTCCTTGTCTTTCTACGGTGCGTCCGCGTGAGCAATGCAATGGTGTATGTACGTGTATAGACATGCACCACTACATAAAACCCGAGAATTGGTTTCTCAGTTTTGGCAAACCCTGAAAACGGAGCTTTGCGTTGTCACTGCGTGAGGTCTTCAATATCAATTCGGACTCTGGCCGGGCCTTCTGCCGACCCTTAATATTAAGAATAAATATTAAATATTAATATTGAATATTAAAAATTATATATAGAATATATAAATATTAAGAATTATATTAAATATTAATATATTAATATATTAATATATTGAATATTAAAAATAAATATATATATATATATATATATATATATATATATATTGAATATTAATATTCAATATTAATATTGAATATTTATTCTTAATATTCAATATTAATAATATTTGATTTTATAATTTTTAAAATATTAGTACATATATATTTATTCTCAATTTTTATTCTTAATATTAAAAAAAATATACTTACTAAACTAACTTAAATGTAATATACTTATTCTTATAGGATTAATTACTATTTATTCTTAATATTCAATATTAATAATATTTATATTTAATATTTTTAATATTAATATTTAATATTTATTTTTAATATTCTGTTAATATTAATATTTAAAATTATTTTTAATATTTTAAATATTAATATATTTAATATTTAGATTTTACTATTCAATATTAATAATTAAATCAATAAAATAGACGGCTCATGTAAATCTATACAACCCCTATTGTAGAATGTAGTTCAAAAATAGAATAAATAATTTTATGACTTTTAATTTTATTAATTTTTGTTTTTATCAGCTTTATATATTCTTACTGAAAATCAATTATGAGAAAGATATACATCGCACATAGCGAATAAATGAAAAAACTAACAATTTAGTTAAAAAATATTTACAAAATAATATATCTATAT